GCACCCCTTGTACAAGCTGGCGCGCCAGATCCTTCTGTGGACTCAGGGGAAGCTCCTCTCTCTAAGAGCAGTTTATATCCCTGGGTATCTAAATCAGGGGGCAGATATCCTGTCGAGACAGGGGCTGAGGCCCGGGGGATGGAGGCTCCACCCCGAGGTGGTGGAGCTCATTTGGAGGGAATTTGGCCAGGCGGAAGTGGATCTATTTGCGTCGCAGGAAACGACACACTGTCCGCTCTGGTTCTCCCTCACGCATCCAGCTCCACTGGGGCTGGATGCCTTGGTGCAGACGTGGCCGAGGCTTCATCTGTGCTCTTTTCCCCCGATCGCTCTGCTCCCAGGAGTTCTGGAGAGGGTACGCTCCTCCAATGCTTTCAACTTGGGTGTGGCCTTGCAGGACATTTGTGCTGCGGCGGGCTGGTCCTTTTGTCACTTTTGTCTGCTTTTACAACCTAGACCTGGCATCTACCCCAGGTTCCCAAGTTCTCTCTTCGTGATGTGCTAGCAAGATACACACACAGGCAGGGACTAGGTAGTATGGCGCAGTGGGTATTCTCGTTCCCAAAGCGATTTCGACGCAGCTCGAGTTCCTGAAGGGGAACGTCTCTAGGTTACGTATGTAACCATGGTTCCCCGAGGGAATGAGATGCCTCGTCTTTTGCCATACTCCCTGCATCCCTCCAGGCGCTACTTCATCGAAGCTGGTTTGCGCTCTGCCGGATGCGCTTTTATACTTTCTGGTGCTTACGTCACCCCGCTCGTGACGTCTCGCTACTCCATTGTACTGATTTGACACGTGCTTCAGAACGCAGTCACGCAGGGGCGTTCCCAAAGCGATTTCAACGCAGCGTCTCGTTCCCTCAGGGGAACCATGGTTACATACGTAACCTAGAGACGTTCTTCCTGATACGATAAGTTGATAATTGTGTTGATATAGTTAAACTATAAATGGTCGTTATTAAAATTATATTAATTACACTAAATAACATGCTCTAAAATAAATGCTATAAATTTAGGCATCACATTATAATGTACAGTATGAAAAATGGATATTGATTTTTGTCACAGTCTTCAGCGGGTGTGCCCAGGAGGGCCACGAGATGACTGTGTTCTGGGAGCACATGGCTTGTGTTGTGTTTGTCTGTTGCCATGTGCTCTCTCCTGTCTATTGTCTGGCCCCTCCCATCTTGTTACCTCGTTATTGTTTTAGTTGCTCCACCTGTGTCTCCCTCGTTAGCCTCCTCGTTTGGTTACTATTTATTCTCCTTGTGTCTGTCATCCTGTGCTGATCCGTCATTTCTCATTGTGTGTGTTTCGTGTCTGCATGTGTGCAGCTTTAAGCTCTGCCTGTCTGTTTTTCCCCTTCGGGGTGGTTTGAGTTTGTTTTGGTTTCGTTTTTTACTAAAATAAAATACCATTTCTCCAGCGAGTGAGTCCTCGCTTCATCTCCCCGCACGCACCGGGACAGAACGGATCAGCCAACATGGGGACTCAGCGGAGAATGGGCTCACCCCGACTACCGGTCTCTACTCTCTCCAGCCCCCTCTACCAGCGCATGCTCCAGCTGAAGACCCTGAGCTCCCTCCGCCAACGAGGGACCGAGCTGAGGGAGTTTGCCGGGGAGTTTAAGAAGGCTGAGTGAGTCCTCGCTTCATCTCCCCGCACGCACCGTGACAGATTTTAAGATTAGCTAAAGAATTAATTTAACTTTTTACTTTAAATGAGAGATAGAAATAAAGCTCCAACAATCTTGCTTTGTTTAAATGAATAACGAAAATAAATAAATAAGGAAATTAATTAATTAGTAAATAAGTATAGTGTATTTTGACATATAAGCATGCAAGTTTTCCATGTACTTTTTATATATTCCGCAGCAGTTCAAATGGGGAACCAGGGATCGGAATCGGCCGATTTTCCTCATGATCGGCCCGGATCGGTGATCAGTCGGTCAGTCTCACTTCTTTCCGATTTCGAGCCGATCCATTTTGTTACCAGCGGCACAGGCAATAACATCAGCTGCGCATTCTCATCTCTCCGACGACCCCTTCTCTCACACACACGTCTCAGTCTCTCCAGTTAAATAGTGCTTGTATTGCGCATTATAGTCATTCCCGCAGGTTTCGTGCTTGTACCAAACGTGTGCGCACCACCACTGATCTATATTAGTGGAGCGCACAATCCGCACTCATTCTCAAACAGCTTGTGAGCCACAAATACCAAAATGAGTAGCTAACTGTGCTAAAACTTTCAAATACATACAAAATTATGTCAAAATGCCCGTCTTGCCAAGTATCCAGATAAGTTTTGGAACGTTAAATAGTTGAGAAAGAGAACGCATGTTGTGTAACAGTATATCGGGTCCGTGGATAAACTCTTAAAGGGATCACAGTCCAATATTCCTGCTGCTGTCTGTCATGTTAATCAAAGAACAAAAGACAAAGAAGATTATTTTCTGCTCTTGACTGAATACGTTTTATAACTTAAATGGTAAGCATTAATCTGTATTTAATTTTTACAATGAAGACTACAGAAATTAAAGTAATCAAATCTAAAATAACACTGGATGTGTTACTTTACATTTGATTACCTTAACTTCTGTAGTATTTCTTACCCGAATAAAAACTTACTTAACCTGAAAACTTAGTTTCATAGCTCTCTTTATTCTATTGCATTTATTTGTGATGTTGTTTGCCATTTTTTAATTTGTTCTTATTTTATTACTGACTTTTTACTTTTTTTATGAAAATAAAACTTTGCAAAATTATTTTTGTTTGTATATGCTGTCAATTATAGTTCTTAGAAAGAAAATCGGAATCGACAAAAATCGGTATCGGCAGTTCACACTAACAAAAAATCGGAAATCGGAATCGGCCAAGAAAATTGCAATCGGTGCATCTCTACTTAGAATGGAGCAAGCATTTTGCTATAGGACATCTCTTGCTGCTCTTATTAATAGTCCTATTAGAATTGACCCGGCCTTATATGATAATCACTTTATTATAAATAATACGCTGAAAATATGGAAACAGATTAAAGCCTATTTGAAGGTTCCCGATGTGTACCTAGATAGTCCTATATGTCAGAATCATGCCTTCTCTCTTGGTTTACTTGATTCAGGTTTTACACAATGGGAGAAGAATGGCATTCAAATAATAAAAGATCTGTATATAGATGGGACATTTGCCTCATTTAAGCAATTTAAAAAAAAAAAACTTTATAATCGATATTTCTATTTTTTAGATACTTACAAGTTAGAGATTTTGTGAAAAAAACATGTCAAATTTTTATGTGATGACAGAACACAATGTACATGAAGAAATTAATAAGTTTAATCCTTTGCATCGGGGAGCTGTGTCATATTTCTATAGTATTATGTTAAAACATGAAGTAGTAGATGAAGTCAAAATTAAGCAGGCCTGGGAGATAGAATTAGGTTTAGAGATCGATTCAGACAGTTTGGGCAGAAGGCCTTGAGAACATACATACTTGTTCAATTAATGTAAGGCATCATTTAATTCAGTTTAAAACCTTGCATAGATTATACTTATCTAAGGTAAAATTGCACAGCATTTTTCCAGAGGTTTCTCCATTCTGTAACAGGTGTAAAGTAGCAGAGGGATCCTTAACTCACATACTATGGTTGTGCCCTAAATTACAGGAATATTGGGAAAACATATTTGATTGTTTTTCTAAAGCATTCAAAAAGAATCTCAAACCATGTCCACTTTTAGCTATTTAGTAATTTAGAGATGTTTAATATACATGAAATTCAAGCCATATTATTCAGTATGATAATTGCCAAGAGGGTGATTTTAAGAATGTGGAAAACTGATTTTGAGCCCAAATTCGAAATGTGGGGTAGAGATCTTGTAAGTATGCATGTATTGGAGAGGTTGAGGTACATCAGTAATGACAAATCTGAGGTATTTGACAAAACATGGGGCAAGATTTTAGAATATCTCAATGTAATTGATGTAATGCATTCACAGCCAATGACCGTTGTTAATGACAAAAGTTCTTAATAATGGAGTGTGATCTGAATGCATTGATAATGTATTTAATATAGTGCCTAAAGTATTTGAAAGCCAATTAAGTCAGGATAATGCTTTTTTTTTTTGTATTGTGTACAATAATTGTCATCATTTTATTTTAATATACATGCACAGGACTAAGTGACTTTACAACATTTATGAATTTGTATCCTGCTTATGCATTACCTGACCAGTTAAATTATAACTTGCCTTTATATGCATTTGTCCGTCAGTGTGCTGTTGTTCTGTTATTGGTTATTACATTTTAATTTATATTTTATTATTGTAATTATCATTTCTTTTCTTCTTTATCGTTGTCCTGTTTGTTCTGCAAAAAAGCAAAACACTAAAATAAATGTGTAAAAAATACATTTTAAATATACTTTTTATATATAAATATATACAGTAAGTACACTTTTTAACTAAATGCATGCATGTCATGTCACATCTGTGCTCAAAAGGCAATATTTTTCTGTTCGTCACCTCTCACATTGTCTGATTCAGAGCTCATAAGTGGCAGCGCAACACCGTTTTTCTAACAATATCTCAATCACACTTCATGAAATACGCAATTAAGGTTTTTTACATGCAGTAAATTTAGACTTGTCGCCTTGGTACTGATGGGAGCAATTTGGGAGTGTGCACGGTTCTATTGCCTCTCTGTGGGCTCAGTTGGCTTCATGCAAAAGGAACCAAACACTTGAGAAAATCACCCTCATCTCTGCAAGCAGGTCAAGTGGAAGCCTCTCCAGTGTGATTAGAGATGCTTCCAACAGTAATGGCATGTGACTGGAGCATTTGATTGACTGACCCACTCACTGACTGAGCATGCGGGGAGAAAAGCCTGCAGGTGGATCAGTCTGTCTGATCTTTGATCAAGTCAGTGCATTTACACTGACAGCCCAATGCTCACATATATGCACAAGACTATCCAAGTGTACTTATTCGCTACACTTCAGGATTTAATGGCTTTTAAAAAAATTTTTTTTTACTTGCACATATATTTTTGGATGCAAACAAACACATAACAAAAAGTATTAAACTATGATATCAATTTTTAATGAATCATTCGAAAAGACTCAAAAACTCGAGAAATACTAGTTTGAATCAATTTGACGAGTGAACTCACTGAATCTTCTACTGAATTTACATCTCATGCAACCCAATCAAAAGCTTTCTTACTTTCAGTCCTAAAAATAAGTGCAAAATAATAACAAGAAACCACATCTTTCTATACACAAGCATACATACAGTGCGGCTCGTTGAGTCCAATTCACCACAAATTAATTTTATGAGCCGGTTCCCTACTTACCTACTAGGCAAAAAGCAGTATGTGAAAATTGATGACTTACTACTTTTGGCAAGATTCTGAAGTGCAAATACAATGGACATTTTACTTGTGAGTGGTTGCAGGTATAACGTATTTTGTAGGCCAAAATCTGGAAACAAATTAGCATTTTAGCACTTCCGGTTCCCAACATTTCAAAGTGAATTTGTTTTTTGAATGGGTTTTTGGCTAAATGCCTGAAATAAGGTCTGTGGTCAACACAAGTAGGGCTGTCGCGATAACCGCAATATCGCAATACCGCGCTATTGACGAGCAAACAACTGACAGCCCGTTTAGAACGCACACAAGTGTAAATATATATATATATATATATATATATATATATATATATATATATAAATTCCTTACATCCATTTTATGAATTGGTGATCTAAATGTATCTGATTGAATCTTAAAAATTACAAACTGCAGCATCACAAATTAACATTAATTAAATGTTTTTTTTTATTATTGTTTCGTTTGTTCTATTTCTGTACTCTTTTATTTTTATTTTCTTGTTCTGGTCCCACTCACAATTTCTACCCCACAAGTTTGTTTTGTTTCTTTGTCCTTTAATGCTAATTGTTCCATATATATATATATGTGTGTGTGTGTGTGTATATATACTGTATGTATGGCAATAATACCGTATACCGTGGTATTGAGCCACTCAAAATTACCGCGAGGGAAATTCCCTCACCGTGACAGCCCTAAACACAAGCTTAAGATATGTTCATGTTTTAGTGTACAACATAAAATACATCAGTAATACTGCCATCTGACTTTTTTTTAACATTACGAGTATGTCCACACTGCATTCATACGACACACATTCATACTATTACTAAATAGAACATAATGTTTAACAGTTGCAAAATAATCACTTAATTAAAAAAATACTCATATTCATACTAGCCAGGGAGGGATTTTGGATGCAGCCACAAACTTGCGAGTGATGAATTAACTGAGTCCATCAGAGCGACACTTCTCACTCATTTACTTTTGCCAGAGATAAATTTTATTTTCTTTAAAAAAAAAAAAATAGTACATGTACAAAGTCACTCTCAGTACCAAAACACAGATAGGAAGAACAAACTGACCTAATGTCTATTATCTTGTTTATATTTAGAATGGACTCTTCTTTGAAGTCACCATAATGTCCATAATGGAGGTTGCATTGTTTACTTTCATAAATGTGTGTGTGAGTTCAGCTCTTGTGGGCAGGCTGCATGCTTTATGATGTGGCAAATAAAGCAGAGAGACTTTGCAGCAGTCAGTAA